AGTGTTGCGTCTCACAATGGAACCGTAATGAAACCGCAACTGAACTCATCAGTCCTTACCCGCTCATTTCCAACTTGCTTGCCAAAATCCTCCAGCGCTTGTTTTCTCTTAGGTACGGCTGTGAAGTTCAACAGAAGTTAAAGTGTATGCTTAGCTCTGGGCCAAAATCCTGTGTTGTTCTTACAGGTACAAAGGGGGTTCCTGAGCTCCAACAGCTGATCTTATCCGCCCTTTGTGCTATGGAGGCACGTGCTGTCTTCCATTTCCTTCAACTAGAAGAGAGTGGCGATCAAAGGCTTCACTACGCTGATAAGCACACTTTCCTCTCCCAGTTAGCTAAAACTTTGCCAAGTTACCTCTAAAACAGCCAGAAAGTTGATGTTTTTTCTCCCAGTTGTTCTCTGGGGGACCAGGCTGAGGATGAAAGGGCCCGAGAGAGGGGAGTGTGATTGCTGTTTACAGCTATGCGTGCCGATGGTGCGATGCTGCATGCTCCCAGTTTAGTTTGATTTATTCAGTGTACCTCATAGCGTTCACAATATGGTGTATGAATAAAAATTCAGACTTCTCCTTTGCTTCTCCCAGTACAGCAAGACTTTTCCCACTGCGGTGCGTCTGCTGCTCTGATATTAAACCTTCCAGGCAGAAGTCTGCAATTCCCTAAAAGAAGTTATCCTGTGCCAAATAGATCTTGGCATTAGGAAACTTTTCTCTGTACTTATTACTCTTTGATTATTGTTGTCAAATACTTACAGATGGTTACATTCTGTATCACTTATCTCCTGTATTATGATACAGGAGTTCCCCCTTGGCATCATCTGTGCTGCCTTCAGGCTGTTGAGTTTCTTCAAGCCTCTCTTGCTTTCTTTCAGAAAGAAGGTCAGCATCAGCTGCATTATTAACCCAAACTGACTGCGTGGTCTGCTTTGGATGTTAATAATTCTGTCAAGAATGATACTGCGGCCCCTGCTTCTCTGTAGAAACATAGTTTTTTGCCTTTAAGCAGCTGAGGTCAATTCTGGGAAGAAAAGAAAGAAAAGAAGTGAAAAGTGAGACTTGTCTGCGTGGCACGTGTTACACCCACACGGCTGTTGTGAGGCTGCATCCCAAGGGTGTTTGCTGATGCTGGGAGGTACCGACATCGCCAGAACCTTGTCAGGGCCTGGGCCACCAGCCAGCTGTCACTAGATAGGGTTATCCCTTCCATGGCTGGAGGGCCAGTCCTTTGGCAGCTGCTTCCTTTTGAAGTGCTCAGATCTTCCTAAATAACTTAGCAAGAAGCCTTCTCAGTCTGTGAAGCTTTCTCAGTCTGTGCAAGTAGGTGCTAGCGATGGGAGTTCTTCAGTGACTGAAGGGATTGAAGGAGGGCTTATATTAGCAGTTTCTGCCTTTTGAGGGAGAAGTGGGGTGCCACACTCCTCATTTGTGGGCATCTGGTTTCAGATGGTTACGGGCATATTTCTGCATGCCCAAATGTGGCTGCAGTTCCTTGCTGGGTTGGTAAAGCTGTCCCGAAGCATGTGCTGTTTCTGTAGCTGCGCGGCAAAGCGTGAAGGCAGTAATGAAGGTGTAAAGCAGGGGCAGGAGCACAGGGAACTGAGCTGCAAGGATAGCTGAGGTTAGCCCCGGGGCTCGGGCTTAGCAAGCTGCTGGCTGCGCCTGCTGGCTCAGCATGTGAGCAGCCGCCTGGCTGCACGGGCATGGCGGGTTGTGGTCCAGCAAGCACAAGGCCCCTCCGCCTTGTGGGGCTGTGGGACGGGGGTTTGTGCGATGGGGAGAGGAAGCATGTCCCATGGGGTGGGTGTTGCTGTCCCGGAGCTGCTCGACCTCAGGCAGGCTCATGGGAGGGCAGGTCTGCAGTCAGGCATTTTTCTTTCAGTTTTCTAGGTCAGAGATTATTTTCTGTTTCAGGCACGTTCCACATATCTGGGAGTTGATCTCAGGTATTATGTTGGCTGCTACTTCGCTGGTCAAATTTCATCTTTAAAGGAGATCACAGCAGGTCCATAAGCCAGACTTTTACCAGTGGTCTATTAATTTTAATTATTTAATATAATTATATCTTATCTTGCTATTGCTATCAGTTTAAGACCAGAGAAAGTATTAAGACTGTCTGGTTTAACCTCTTGTATAGGACAAGATTTCACTATCGGTCCTGCATCCAGCACGGTGCTGGTGTGCCAACATTTCAGCAACTCCTGGCAAGCTGGGGCTTCAGTCCTCATTTTGGAGCTTTTCAGCCATAATTTTTCATTAGATCCTGCTTACATGTGCTGTGAGATGATCTTGAGTGTAGATAGACCCTCTTTACTGAGTGCCCTTGAACTGTGGTATAATGTGAGCATGGCTGCTTAGTTGGTGTAGGGGATTTAACTGGTCTTTAATCTTGGAGTCTGGAGGGGAGAGAGATTGTTTTCTAACTCTCATAAATCTCCTGGTATTGCTTTCAGAAATATTTTTTTTTTCTGTTTTGTGGGACTATGCTACCCTGGGCAGAGGAATCCCCTTTGCAGTGATGGAGAGCAAGGTGTGTCACAGAGTTTGGAGCGATTTTCTTTTGTGCCCTGTGTCGAAGGTGGATGATACTTTTGTTGCATCTCCTGGTCGGTCTCAGCCCAGCTGCTTCTGTCTTTACAAGTCTTTGCTTTTAAGACTAAGCAAGGAGTGCAGGATTTGCTCCGTATCCCACCGAAGACCATGTATGAGAAGAGAGGAAGAATCCTCTTTGTGAATATGAAAGCAGGAATCTTAATGTATCGCTGTATATGGAGACTGGCAGAAAAATGATAAGCACTGAAGGATGATTTTGGAAACCTAAGTAAGTAAGGATTCTTGGTATGCCATAAATCAATTTGGGTGACTGTATCTGTATATATATTACAGATATTATATATTTTTGAAAGAACCATTTTTTTACGAAGCTGAATATCTCTCCAGTAAACTGAAATTTGGGCAAAAATGATGCATCATGTTGCTGGAGTTGAAGTTTATTTGGGGGAATGTCTTCCATATTAATGGAGACAGAGGGCTATTCAAACACAGCTTCCTAAAGCCAATGTAGTAAGCAGCCCAAGCAAACACGAAAATTAATATTGAGTCAAAGCTAAATATTTAATTTAAATTTTCCTTGTGAGATTAATTTGGTGGCTTTTATTTTATTTTATTTTTTTATTTTTTAAATTATTTTATTTTATTTTTAACTGGAAAATACGGTGTCTGTAAAATCAATGTTTCGATAGGATTTTCCCAAGCAGTTCTAGCTTCCCTATTTTGTATCCCATTGATAGAGGTGTGTCACTTCTGGACTGTAGCTGGAGTCCTGAATAGGATATTCTCTTATCCTTTCTCTGAAAATATTTGCTCTGCTCATGGTAACAAATTCCTAACAGTTTCAAAACCCATTTCTCTACTTCTGTAACAAATTGTAAGCTAGGGAAACGTGCAGTGATGGGGTGTGCTGTCCCTGCTTCCCGCTCCCTTAGCCCAGAAGATTGTTTTCTCTCGGCTCGTGTTAGTGAAGCTGCAGTTGTCATCCCTAGGAGTGGAGGTGACACTTAGCAGTGCAGAGTCAGCTTGGACACCTTCTTCCCCCGCTTACTGCTGTGCAGATACTTTCTGTCCATTTGTAGCATGGCTGTTTGGCTCCTCTCTTAGGTAACGTGGAGTTCAGCTTTCTCTTTTACCTGTGTCTTAATGTTATTCCCTTAAGAGGACTGGTTGGTGCATGGCAGGGTTTTCCAAACCATGGGCAACTGTTGTCTGTATTGGTGGTGGTCCATACAGCGTTGCTCTGGGAGCTTAGGCTTATGTTTAGAGGTTTATTTGAATCATGTGTTAACACTGGAGAGGAATCAGTGTTGGCAGGATACATGGTGTGTTACCCAAGAAAAGAGAGGGAGCCTTTCTTGCAGGACTGGGAAATCTTTTTCTGCTCCGCTGTGTGCACACCAGGTTGTATCAAATTCTGGGCACCTCTGTGATGAAACTCGGTGCTGCTGACGTAGAAGACTTGCTTCTATTTCTGCCAGAGCAAGGAAAGGTGGCTGTACAAGAGCACAGAGGGTTTGAACAATCATATTTAATCATTCTTCCAGAGAGCTCTATTTTCAGAATTTGTCTTCTGCACAGATTATAGATACCCACGAGGTGTGAAGCTCCTCTTTGCTAATTTCAACCTTGCAATTTGGGGGTGTATGGGGGGGGGTGGGGGGGGGTGCCTTGTTTGTGTTGGTTTTGTTTTTTTTTTAAGTGAGATTTCTGTATGACAGCTTGACTCAAACTTCAGGGATGCTTAGCTATGATTTTTGCTAAAAAATAGCTAGTGAACAAAAAAAAACAAAAGCAAGACCTTAACTAAAAGTGCACCTAAAGATGAAAAATCTACTTACCAAAAAATAAATATCTTCTTTCAAGGACAGGTTGACCGACACTGGGATTGAATTTCTGATCCCTAAAATTATGTTCTATATCTCTAATTTACATTACACGACAACAAGTCCTTAGGTAACAGCACTAACAGCTTCCTATTTTCTATGGTTTAAGGCCAAAAAGTGATTTATGTAAGAAATTTGAGTTTATCCCAGCACTGATGGTATTTTGAGAGACTGGCACAATTGCAATGGGATAAGAAATAATAGGGAGAAAATACACATATAATTCACCAAACAGATGCACATGGATCTTTTCAGAGTTGTGTGTGTTTTAATGTTACTCCTCTTTATCCCCCCCCCACCCCCCCTTGAGTCTTTATTTCCTCTAGCAAGGTTGAGATTGTTCAACATTTAGGGCCCTGTAAAAAATAAGGAACCTGATTCCTTCTTTTTCCTAGAAGTGCTGAACAATTTGAGCCATGATTGCTTGATTTATTTTTTTTTTTGTAAAATTAAGGGTGTGCATGAGAATAGATACAGATCTTCAAATATTATCAAATGTCAGCAGGATTTGCCATGCAAAATCCTGCCTTGAAAAACAATCTTCTAACATTTCCTTTACTTTTTCAGGTGGATTTGGAGCCAGAAGGCAAAGTGTTTGTTGTCATAACTCTTACGGGCAGCTTCACAGAAGGTAAGGGAATTATTTTGGCTTGTTTCCATTAAGAGCTGTACTCTGGTGTATATTCTTGCCATCGGTTACCAAGCAGTGTATAAGCGAATGCCATTCTTCCCACGGGCCACGTGCTGTTGTGCACTGGAGATTTCTTAAGTGATAGGGGAAATCTGGAAGGGGCTGTTCGTAACAGCTCGCGCTGTGTGTGCCCTCTGCTCTGCTGTTGCTCTGATCTCGGACCCAGGCAGCCAGTTCATGCTTGATCTGGTTTATTTACCTGAAGTGGTCCTTCAAAAGGATTGTTTTTATCACCCGTACTTTTCACGTGGGTGCCTCTCGAACGGCAAGCTACGGAACATGTACAGCGTATTTAAAATTGAACATGTTTAAAACATCTGGATGATTTTTATTCCATAATGATTCCCATCTACTTCACGTTCATTTCTGTTGCCCAATTTTACTTTGCACAGGAAACTTAGAAGTTTTTAGTGTGACAACTGCCCTGAAAAAGTATCCAGGCAGATTTTTTTTTTTTCTGTAGCTATCTTTTATAGTGTGATGTTTTTAATTTCCCTGTTGTTTATTGTGTTGCCAGCTATGAGAATAGATGTGAGCTGAGCTGGAGGAACCCAAGAAATCTGGGATGGGGCACAGAAAAAGGTTATTTTCTTCAGGCCTACACCATGATTCTTATTTGTTTTAGCTGTGGCCTCAAACTGCATTTGTTGGAGGGTGTTTTCTGTACAGAAGCCAAGCGTTGAGGCAGGATCTGCTCTGCTATCTGTTAACTGCAGCCTGTGGGGACTGGATTTTTAATGCTTTCTCTTGTTCTGCCCTAGAAACTGATTGCTTGGCACAAAGGCTGTGCTGAGGGCTGCAGCACGGGCAGCTCACCCTGCTATGCTCCATCTTGGACACGAGGAGGGTGCAAGCTGGAGGGGTGCTTGCTTCAAGCGTTGCGGAGGAGCTCTGCTCTCCTGCCTAGTGGTTCCCCTAGGTCCCACCTTGTGCTAGGTGCCCAGGCCTTCTCAATGCCCCTGCCTTTGTTTTTCAAATTCAGGTTTGAATACAAGCTTGTGCTTTACTTGGATGCTTTTGGGGAGCTGTCTCACCCTTGCTGAGCCAGCAGCCTGATGTGTGCTGGGACCTGAGCTGCTGCATCAGAAGAACTGGTGAAGCTTTTCATTTTCTTTGGGTGGTTTACACCCCAAGGAGTGCTCTGCTCCTGGCAGGAAGCCTGTGGACTTTCAAAGCCTTTGGGCTGACTGCAGAAGTGATCAGCTGAGCCATACCTTGAGGGCCCAGCAAGGATTTGCAGCGAGACTGTGTCCTCCTCCTCCTCTGCACCCTGAGCCCCGTGGCCTGGAAGCAGTGGCAGGGTTTGCAGACATCCTTCCCTGAGTGCAGCTGGGGCTGCTCTTACTCCTAGGGACTGCGAGCAGGGCGTAATCCCACTTGCAGAAGGGATGTTAGGAGGGAGATGTGACAGAAAGCCTGACTTTGGCTCCTAAGGAAATGTGCAGTCTTGGAGTGATGGAGATGAGGAGTATCACACTCTGGCACTGCAGCAGGGCAGAGAGGACCAGAATTCCCTTTTCTAGTGAAGTTGACTTAGCATGTAAAGCTGGGCAGGCCACATAGCATCACTACAACTTTCATTTCTTTATCTGTCAAGTAGGAATGCATGTTATTCTCTGCTCAAGTGTCAACTTTGGGGTCTGGGAACTGCTCTTGCATTTATCCATGCGTAAAATGTTAACAGATCATTTACCCTTTCTCCTCTAGGGAGATACTTCCTACAACTATGCTTTGACAGGGAGACATGAAGAATACTTTTTAAGGCAAATTTGGGAAAAACTTTACTTGTAACCAGAGAACGGGGGGAGTGCAAAGGCGTGCTAGGGAGGCCTGGAGGACTTTTTTGCAGGTCCAGAGGCCGTGGCTCTTAGGGGTGGAAAGGACGTTAGAAATTGACTTTAATTGCCTATGACAGAGCCAATGATGGAAAGAGGGAAGAAACTAGAGGGCTTTTACTGACCATGGTCATGCTTGGCCATTTAAAGGAAGGTTGAGCAGGGATGGTGGGCTTGTTCATAAATCCAGCGTGTCCTTGAAACTTGTGCTTGTGGCTAAGCTGTTAAGGCATGCTGCTAACAAGGTCTTAAAGATGAGAGATGGAGAACTCAAATGTTTGTACTGCTACTGCTTTTTGAGGAAAATGGGAAATGTTGGAAATATTTACTTCTCTTTTCTCTATCATTGTTGAGGATGTGTGGACTTACAGAACAGGAAGATCCAAAAACAACTCTTGGGGTTTTTCTTGACTGGTTAGTCCCATATGGGGTCACATTTAGAGTTTCCAAGAATAGACATAATCCAGGTCAAGCTTGATGGGCAGGGCAGATACTGACTTCTCCCAGTCGTTGGATAGTGGAGACATCTATCAGGGTGTGATTTCTTCTGAAAAATGATGAATTCTCTTTCATAACATCATGTTTTATTCTACTTTTGTCTTTGCTGGAAATGTGGAGGGTCAGAATTGTATTTGAAGTTCAAGGTTTTTTGGAAAGAAGTCTGAGAATAACTCAACAACTTGAAAGCAAAAAAAGTGGCTCCCTACTTGTTTGCCCTAATCTGGAGGGCAGCTGCTACCACATCCTCCGTGCTAGTTATGGCTAACATGGCAGAGACCACTTGAAGGCTGTATGTGTCTGTGGGTACACAGAGAACCCACCGATTAGTTCACATTAGACCCTATCAGGGTAGCACGTAGACCCACGTGGGGTTTCAAGCAATATGATATTTAGGACTTCTGATAATTTTCTTGTGAATCCTGAGTGATTAAGTGTGTAACTCTGGTGCATCTCCTGCTCTGTAAAGTATCAAGCAATGGTGATGTGGTGCTGCAAAAAAAAAGCCAGACTCCAGCAGGTAAAAAGAGCAACATGGCAGTGTCTGTAGACCGACTGTTCAAGCCACCCACGTGCGTTTTTTAGCAGCTCTTGCCTTGCTGCTTTCAGTAGATCATGGGGACAGAAGGATAACATAATTGAATCAGTCTGAACCGTGGGGAGCATCTTCCTTTGAAAAGCTTCTGAGAGCTCCACTGAGTAAAGGTGGAAGGGCAGTGCCTACTGCTGGTCCTCACACTGCCAGCACGTCATTCATCTCAGAGAGGTTTTATGCCAAGCTAGTTGTTTTGTTTTATGGAAATGGCCAAATTCGCAGTGTCTCGATCAGCGTCGTCTAACTCCAGTAAAGTAAAAGTCCAGAAAGTGGCTGAAGAGAGGTAGGAGAAAGGGGGGGATAAAAAAAAAAAAAAGGCAAAAAAAAACCCAGCCAAAAAAGGCTGGGATGTTAGGTCCACCCGAGGCTATTATGGTGTTATCCTGAAAGCTTATGCAAAATAGACAGTCCTGGTGGTGCTGGCAGCTTGTGCTTTCTTTAGCTTTGGGAGTGGTTGCCTTTTTTGTTTGATTAAAAGTTGTTTTGGCCAGAAGTTTAATTTGGTTCTGCTTACCTACAGTGGGGGTGGGGGGAGAAGAGTGGCACTCCTGCGAGGGGCGCAGTGTGTCCGACAGAAGCATTTGTGTACCATCAGGATGAGGACAGTATAGAAAACGTACAGGGAAAAGGTTATTTCTTTGTAGGTTCCAATATGGCTTTTCTGTCCATCAGTGTTAACCTGCTGTTTTGAGGCAGGGAAATAGGCCTGTTTCACGTGTTAAAAATCCATGTAGTTTTTCAGGAGAAGAAAGGAATGGAGCAATAGGAAGCGAGGGAGGTCTAATGAAATTATCCCTGCCTATCTTTATTTTCTCTGCTGGATTTATTTGTTGCTGTGCTAAGCTATATCTGATTATATTAACTCCCCTCATTCAGCTGATATTTCCTGTGTAAAGCGACCACTGCAAAATTAAAATTGAAATCTCCTTACCTTGGGAGGAGATTACCTCTCCAAGCGTGACTCTGTCTCTGCTGGCAGTGCTGGGTCACAGTGGCACCAGCACCCAGCTGGGATGGAGGGAGGCACCCTCTCCTCCAGCCATCTGCCTCACTGACTCGGGAGCTGTTTCACCCTGGGCTGTTTTATAGAGAAGGTGAAGACTGACTTCAGACAGCCAAACTTGCTTAGGAATTGATTTTTTTTTTTCCCCTTACTGCCTCCCTCCCTCAAAGAATTTTATTTAATCTTTCCTGCAGTTTCTTTATTTAACCTCCCTGATAATGGGATTTTTTTTTTTCACAAAAATTTCACAAAAACAATTTCTTTTTAAATTTCTTTATTCTTTTCACTTTGGATATTAATATAGGGGTTTTTTGTCAATGATGTCTTTAGCATTTCTTACGTCTCTCTCTCTCTTTGTGCCTCCTTGCCCCTTTCTCCCTTTAAAATAATGGAAGTGGCTTCTCAGAGAGGGCTGTCTTTTCTGTGATGTGCCTTATCCATGAGTGTGAGGTGCGTTGTGAGCTGAGGAGCTGGGGATGGGAGCAGAGCGCAGCGTGCTGTGTGTGGGACCAAGCAAAGCTGTGGTTGTCAGGAGGGAGTTCAGCTCTGCCCAGTCCTGGGGACCACAGGAGCTGTGGTTTAGCTGAGGTGTTAGTGTCCTGCCTCCCTCCCTGTGATGACCCATGTGTGTGCCAGGATCTCGGAGATAACCCGTAAGATCTCAACTCTGTTTTAAGCCTCCCTCAAAGGAAAATTCCTGCTTTATTGCTGTCTAAAACAGGTAGTGCTACGTAGGGTATAAAGTTCTCGAATGTTGTTCCTCTTCTCCTAGCCTTGGCCGTAACAATTTCCAGGTAGACAGCTTCCAAGTAGGGTCTTCTTCCTCATCACTCCTGGAAAACATCTGGGAGCACTGTTGACTGGGGGCCGTTGCGGTTCTGCAGTGCAGTATGCCCAAGTACTGCTTCCCTGTGCTCTCCCAGGGCTTCATCTAGGTCCCCCTGGCTCTGGTTGAAGGTGACCTGGTGCCTCCGAGGTGCCTCTGTCTTTGGGGCTTGTATTGTTCATA